GATTTGTTGTTGTCGTTCTTCTGTCGGATTTGTTGTTGTCGTTCTTCCGTCAGATTTGTTGTTGTTCTTCTGTTTGATTTGTTGTTTCGAATTTGTTGTTGTCGTTCTTCTGTCAGATTTGTTGTCGTTCTTCCGTCGGATTTGTTGTCGTTCTTCTGTTGTCGGAATTGTTGTCGTTCTTCCGTCGGATTTGTTGTTATCGTTTTTCTGTCGGAATTGTTCTCGTTTTTCTGTCGGATTTGTTGTTGTTGTTCTTCCGTCGGATTTGTTGTTGTCGTTCTTCTGTCGGATTTGTTGTTGTCGTTCTTCTGTCGGATTTGTTGTTGTCGTTCTTCTGTCGGATTTGTTGTTGTCGTTCTTCCGTCAGATTTGTTGTTGTTCTTCTGTTTGATTTGTTGTTTCGAATTTGTTGTTGTCGTTCTTCTGTCAGATTTGTTGTCGTTCTTCCGTCGGATTTGTTGTCGTTCTTCTGTCGCCGGATTTGTTGTTTCGGATTTGTTGTTGTCGTTTTCTCATCGGATTTGTTATCGTTCTTCTGACAGATTTGTTGTTATCGTTCTTTTGTCGGATTTGTTATCGTGCTTCTGTCGTCGGATTTGTTGTCGTTCTTCAGTTGCCGGATTTGTTGTTTCGGATTTGTTGTTGTCGTTCTCTCATCGGATTTGTTGTTGTTCTTCTGTCGGATTTGTTGTTGTTGTTCCGTCAAAATTATTGTCATTATTCCTTCGGAAATACTGGAAAGAGTTTACTTTGACGCAACCTGTCTACTCGTTTCTTGAGGGCCAATGAATTGTTAAGCCTACTGTATAGTACTGATGATAATATTAATAATAATAATAATAATAATAATAATAATAATTCTTTCCTATCAAACATATATCTTCTTTATCTCCCCTCCTCTTTTTTGTGTTTGTTACTCTCTTGTAACACCTCTAGTCTTCGACACTTATATGATCTTATTGCGTTGCAAATGCCGTAAAACTCTTACTAAAATTTACTCTCTTGTAACACATCTATTCTTCAGCACCTATATGGCCTTATTGTGCTGCAAGTGCCGTAAAACTCTTACTAAAACTTTTTTTAAAAAACGCGCTTATCTGTTTGTCTAGGATGATCCGCCGCACGGCCTTCAAGGACGTGGCAGTGAGCAGTCAAGGAGCTGGTTCGTCAACGGGCGACGAGAGCAACGTCATTGACCTTGACTTTGAGCAGAACAGCACGGAGGATAAGACAGGTGACAGACGCTCTTTCTCCTGTCGGAAGTTGGGAAGTTTTTACGATGTGTGTCATGTCGTCGGTGGCCTAGTGGTTAGGCTCTCGGACTCGCAACCGTAAGGTCGTGGGTTCGAATCCCGTCAGGGGCCCGACGTTGTGTCCTTGGAAAAGGCACTTTGCACAAATTTTCCTCACTTCACCCAGGTGGGAATGGGTACCCGGCTATAGACAGCGAAAGATCTTGTCA